TGTGTGTGTGTGTGCTATTAGCAGTTGCTGGCTGCTGTACAGGAGATGGGGGAAGTCACTTTTCTTTAGAAGTATAGCCACTGCAAGGTTGTCCATGTTGTGTGTGGTGTATTACCCCATGCCAGTGAACACATGTGCAGCATTAACTGGAATCCAGTATGTTAAAAATAAAATTATAAAAAGAGAACATGAAATTGGGAGGGAGATGTGATGAAGGGTTCAGGGGTGGAGTTGGAATAGAACTGTGGAAGTGAGGGGTGAATATATGATCAAGACACTTGGTATGCATGCTTGAAATTTTCAAAGAGTAAATTAGAGGAAAAATGTGATTAATAACTAAAATTTTTTCCTATCTTTTCCTGATATTAAAATAATTATTACATTAAAACTTACTATTTGTACATCTATATATAAAATATTTATGTTAACATATATACATATGTAGTGATAATCAAAGAGAAATAAATTATCAGTTTGGAATGGGGGGACATGGAAGGAGCTGGATGGAGGAAATAGAAGGGGAATGGTGCAATTATATTGTAATTTTAAAATGTATAAAAATGAATAAATAGGGCGCTGAGGGACGCGGCCAGACCTCGGCAGGCCCCGCGAGCACTACATGCCATCGCCCGAGAGTCGGGGGGCGCCCGGAGATGCGGGTTTGCCTGCAATGAGATTTTACTCTCTACACCTAAAGAACGTTCTTTCTGAGCTGCTGTGAATACATTTGGAATGATACTGTCTTTTTTCAACTAATGGAGAATTAGCTGTGTCTTTACAAGGGTTGCTATTCTGGACAACTTCAGAACATCCCTCATAATGTCATCAAACAGGAGTCAGAATCCCCATGGACTGAAGCAGATTGGTCTTGACCAGATCTGGGATGACCTCAGAGCTGGGATTCAGCAAGTGTACACCAGACAAAGCATGGCGAAGTCCAGATACATGGAGCTCTACACTCATGTTTATAACTACTGTACTAGTGTGCATCAGTCCAACCAAGCCCGGGGAGCTGGAGTCCCTCCTTCCAAGTCAAAAAAGGGGCAGACTCCTGGGAGAGCTCAGTTTGTCGGCTTGGAGTTATATAAGCGACTGAAGGAGTTTTTGAAGAATTACTTGACAAATCTTCTCAAGGATGGAGAAGACTTAATGGATGAGAGTGTACTGAAGTTCTACACTCAACAGTGGGAAGATTACCGATTCTCCAGTAAAGTGCTGAATGGGATCTGTGCCTACCTCAATAGACATTGGGTTCGCCGCGAATGTGATGAAGGACGGAAAGGAATATATGAAATCTATTCACTTGCGTTAGTGACGTGGAGAGATTGTTTGTTCAGGCCACTGAATAAACAGGTGACAAATGCTGTTTTAAAACTGATTGAAAAGGAAAAGAATGGCGAAACCATCAATACGAGACTGATTAGTGGAGTTGTACAATCTTATGAGAGATTTTATACCAGAGAAAGTACTGAATTCTTGCAGCAGAACCCAGTTTACTGAATATATGAAAAAGGTTGAGACTCGTTTGCTGGAGGAGCAGTGGAGAGTGTGGGTTTACCTCCATGAGAGCACACAAGACGAACTAGCATGGAAATGTGAGCAGGTCCTCATCGAAAAACACTTGGAAATTTTCCACACAGAGTTTCAGAATTTGTTGGATGCTGACAAGAATGAAGATTTGGGCTGCATGTATAATCTTGTATCTAGAATTCAGGATGGCCTAGGAAAATTGAAAAAACTCCTAGAAACACATATTCATAATCAGGGTCTTGCAGCGATTGAGAAGTGTGGAGAAGCTGCTTTAAATGACCCCAAGATGTATGTGCAGACAGTTCTGGATGTTCATAAAAAGTACAATGCCCTAGTGATGTCAGCATTCAAAAATGACGCTGGCTTCGTGGCTGCACTTGATAAGGCTTGCAGTCGCTTCATAAACAACAATGCAGTTACCAAAATGGCCCAGTCCTCCAGCAAATCCTCTGAGCTGCTCACTCGGTACTGTGACTCCTTGTTGAAGAAAAGTTCCAAGAACCCGGAAGAAGTGGAACTGGAAGACACCCTCAATCAAGTGATGGTGGTCTTCAAGTACATCGAGGACAAAGATGTGTTTCAGAAGTTCTATGCAAAGATGCTTGCCAAGAGACTGGTGCATCAGAACAGTGCGAGTGACGACACCCGAAGCCAGCATGATCTCCAAGCTGAAGCAAGCTTGTGGTTTTGAGTACACCTCCAAACTTCAACGAATGTTTCAAGACATTGGTGTAAGCAAAGATCTGAATGAACAGTTCAAAAAGCACCTAACGAATTCAGAACCCCTGGACTTGGACTTCAGCATCCAGGTCCTCAGTTCCGGGTCGTGGCCCTTCCAGCAGTCTTGCACATTTGCCTTGCCATCAGAGTTGGAGCACAGTTATCAGCGGTTCACAGCTTTCTACGCCAGCCGCCACAGTGGCAGAAAACTGACGTGGTTGTATCAACTGTCCAAAGGCGAACTAGTCACTAATTGCTTCAAAAACAGATATACTTTGCAGGCCTCCACATTCCAGATGGCAATCCTGCTTCAGTACAACACAGAAGACGCCTACACTGTGCAGCAGCTGACGGACAGCACCCAGATTAAGATGGACATTTTGGCACAAGTCCTACAGATTTTGCTGAAGTCAAAGTTGCTGGTCCTGGAAGATGAAAATGCAAATGTTGATGAGGTGGAATTGAAGCCAGACACCCTAATCAAGTTATATCTTGGTTATAAAAATAAGAAATTAAGGGCTAATATCAACATACCAATGAAAACTGAACAGAAGCAGGAACAAGAGACCACACACAAAAATATAGAGGAAGACCGCAAACTACTGATTCAGGTGGCCATCGTGAGAATCATGAAAATGAGGAAGGTCCTGAAACACCAGCAGTTACTTGGTGAAGTCCTCACTCAGCTGTCTTCCAGGTTCAAACCTCGGGTCCCAGTGATCAAGAAATGCATTGATATTCTCATCGAGAAAGAATATTTGGAACAAGTTGATGGTGAGAAGGATACCTACAGTTACTTGGCCTAACCCTTCTAAAAGGGTCTGTGACCCACAACATAGTCCACTGAATAGAATGGAAGCAGCTCACGTTCATAGCAGCCAGCCTGCCGCCATTTGGACCTCCCTTTTTAACGCTGAGACCACAGTTCCCACCAGCTGGTCTCAGGCTACAGCCGGACTGCTCAGGACTGACACATTTCAGTCAGTAAACAGACGCCAATGCCATTTGCCCTAACTTATGGACAGAGGGGACCCGAACCTTCCATGCTGAGGCTGCATGCTACTGCACTTAAATCAATACATTGGCCCCTGGTTAACACTGTCTTCTGGGGCAGCACTTGAGAGCGAGTCTGAATGGACCTATGTGTAATCTGCTATGAAAACCATTTGCATAGTGTGTTTCATTTTTTTAATGTGTGAAAATAAAGAAAATTAAAGGATTTCTGTACAAAAAAATGAATAAATAAATTGTAGCAAATGAAACATTTCACATATATAGTCTTTGTCAGACTGAGAAAGTCTGCTTCTTTTTCTAGACTTCAAATGTTTTTTAAATTACAAACTCATAAAATTTTAAATCAAAAGCTTTGTTTGTGGCTCCCAAAATAATCATATGGGTTTTTTTTCTTTTAATGTAATGGGCCACATGTACAGACTTTTTATTTAAAAATATCTTTATTTTTTAGATAAGTCCTACTTAATCACAGTACACTTTTAAATACATTGTTGGACTCAACTAATTGTCCCCTCATTTTTAATGTTAGCATTACAAAATAAAATGGGTCATGTGAGCCTATAACATTATACAGAGTATTTTCCTTCAAACTTAAAATTCTTAGGATTACTAAGTTATATTTTTCTTAAGCTATTTTAGACATTTTATAGTTTTCAAATACGTCACTTAGGTGTTAAAAGTTTTATAATTTAAAAAATAAACTCTAGCCAGGCATAGTGGTTCAAGCCTTTAATCCCAGCACTTGGGAGACCAAAGCAAGTGGATCTCTATGAGTTCAAAGCCAGCCTGGTCTACACAATGAGTTCCAGGCCAGGAAACAATATACATAGCAAGACCTTGTCTCAAAATGCAAAACAAAACAATAAGAACTTTAAATTTGTTTTTTAATTTTTTTTAATTTTGGAGATCATCCCTTGTCTCCAAAATATATAAAGAACTCAAGAAATTAGACATCAAAATACCAAATAATCCAGTTAAAAAATGGGATACAGATCTAAACAGAGAATTCTCAACAGAAGAATTTCAAATCACCAAAATATTCAACATCCTTAGTCATCATGGAAATGAACATCAAAATGACTCTGAGATATCATCTGACACCTGTCAAAATGGCTAAGATCAAAAACACTGATGACAGCTTATGTTGGAGAGGATGTGGAGTAAGGGGAACACTGCTCCACTGTTGGTGAGAGTGCAAACTGGTGCAGCCACTTTGGAAATCAATATGGCAGTTTTTCAGAAAAAAATGGGAATCAATCTACTTCAAGATCCAGCAATACAGATCTTGAGCATATACCCAAGGAATACTCAATCATACCACAAGGACACTTGCTCAACTATGTTCATAGGCAAATTTTTTGTAATAGCCATAACCTGGAAACAATCTAGATACCCCTCAACTGAAGAATGGATAAAGAAAATGTAACCTGAAGGTTTCTCCAGTCCTAGCTGGCCCATGGTCCCACATTTCTCAGGTCCTGCCCAGCCCCGCAGTCCCGCATCTGCTTATAAAATAATCATTCAGAGGCTTAATATTATTTACAAACTGTATGATCTATGGCAGGATCCTTGCTAGTTAGCTATTTCATCTTAAATTAACCCATTTCTATTAATGTACGTTTTGCCACTTGGCCATGACATTACCAGTCTGTTGGCATCTTGCTTCTCCATGGGCAGTGCCTGTCATCTCTCTAGACTCTGCCTTTCTCTTTCCTGTCTCTGCCCTTGGATTTCCCACCTGCCTCTATGAAGCTTTGCCATAGGCCAAAGCAGCCTATTTATTATCCAATGGGAGCAACATATATTCACAGTGTACAGAAAGACATTCCACAGCAGGAAAATGTGGTACATTTACACAATGGAGTATTATTTAGCTGTGAAAACAATGACCTCATGAAAATTGGAGGTAAATGGATGGAACTAGAAAAAAAATCATTGTGCGTGAGGTAATCCAGACCCAGAAAGACAAACATGGTGTGCACTCACTCATAAGTGGACATTAGGAGTAACGTACAGAATAACCAACCTACAATCCACAGCCCCAGAGAGGCTAGATAATAAAGAGGGCCCAAAAAGGGATGCAAGAATTTCCCTGGGAAAGGGAAATAGAAGAGATCTCCTGAGTAAACTGTGGGTGGGGGTGAGAGGGTAGGGGAATGGGAATTTCAGGGAGTGGGTTGGGTGGGCCGGGTGCAGGAGGTGGGTTGGGGGGCAGGACAGATGGGGGGAGTAAGGAAAGAGACATCTTGATTGGGGGTTTATTTCAGGGTTAGTAAGAAACCTAGTACCAGAGAAACTCCCAAGAATCCACAAGGATGACCCCAGCTAAGACTCCTGGTAATAGTGGAGAGGGTGCCTGAACTAGTCATCTACTGTAATCAGATTGAAGACTACCCTAATTGTCATCAGAGAGCCTTGTTCCATTAATTGATGGAAGCAGATGCAGAGATCCACAGGCAAGCACTGGGCAGAGCTACAGGAGTCCTCCCAAAGAAAGGGAGTAAGGATTGTAGGAGCCCAGGAGGATGGTAGGGAAAGGCAAGGTCATAATAAAGGAACCCATAGAGACAGCTGACCTGAGCTCCTAGGAGCACATGGACTCAGGATCAACAGTTAGAGAGCCTGCATGGGGCCAACCTAAGCTCTCTGCTTGTGTGTGACACTTGTGTAGTTTGGTCTGTTTGTAAGGCTCCTAGTCATGAGATCAGGACCTGTCCCTGGCACTTAACTGGCTTTTGGGAACCTGGTCTCTGTGCTGAATTACCTCACCCAGCCTTTATGTAGGAGGAAGAGCTATGTCCTGCCTGAACTTGATGTGCCATGCTTTGGTCAAGCCCATGGGAGGCCTGCCCATTTTTGAATGGAGAGGGAGGAGGAGTGGATGGGGAGGATGGTAGATGGGAGTTGGGAGGAGAAAATGGGAAGAGAGGAGGGAGGGGAAACTGTGGTCGGTATGTAAAATAAATGAAAAAAATGTTAACTAAATAAAATAAATATTTTAAAAATGAATTCAAAGACAAAAAATACAATTTTGGACTTACAGAAAAAAAATCTACAGAGCAGTCAAGACATAGCTCTTTGGTTAAGAGCACTGGCTGCTCTTCCAATGGACCTGATGTCAATTCCCAGCACCAGCTCACAACTGTCTATAATGCTAGCTCCAGGGATAAGCTACACTTCTGGCCTTCAGGGGCATTTGCACTGATGTTCAAATAGTCATATGCACACATACTCACATAACTAAAAATAATTTTAAAATAAGTAGAAAGAAAAAATCTCTATATATTTAACAAACATAACTTGACAAGATTGAATATACATATATCTTATGAAATTTTCAATATAACCTATATTATAAACATACCTGTCTCCTCTAAGTTTTCTCCTACTGTCTTCACTTTCTGCTGCTACTAATTTTTTTAATAACATGATATTGGAGAAATGACTCAACAGTTAAGAACACTGTCTGCTCTTCCAGAGGTCCTGAGTTCAAGGCCCCAGAACTACATAGTGGGTCACAATCATCTCTAGTGGGATCTGCTGCCCTCTTCTGGCATAAAATCATACATGCGGATAGAGCACTCATACATAAAATAAATCAATCTTTAAAAAAATTAACAAATAGCATGATATTGATACCTTTCTCTTAGGATAATATTCTTTGAAATGGGGTCCACTTAGTTCATGCTGGGTTTGAACTCATGGCCTCAAGAGACTCTTTGGCTTCAGTGTTTTGAGTCATGTGGTACTAGGTATGCACCAGCAAGCCTGATTGCAGTTGTCTAATTATTACTAAACACTTTTATTAATTATATAGTACTAGAACTTATTCAGTTAATACAAAGGGAACTTTCACACTTTTTTAGCCACTGAATAGGTCTGGCACTATCACAGCAAGGAAGCTTCTGTATTAAAATATCTTCAAATTGTGCAGAATGCTGAGCATGTCAAAGGCTTCTCTGCCACTCTTTCATGGCATAGTCTGAGAATGCCCAGTGTTCCTGTCTGCTATACATATGATGTAAGCCGAGCATGCTTTGAGGAATTTCTCTTTCTGACAGAGATCATCTTAATGACACATACTGAGCACGTCCACATGTAGGCTCTCTTCCATTAGTGTTATGCTGCAAGGCGAGTATGTCCCAAAGAGTTTCTGATAACGATTGTAGGTTTCGTATCATATGTTCCATTCCATGATTTTCTTGGGCTACCCAAAATATATCTATGATCTTCCTGTCTTGAACTTCCTTTCTTGTACTCTGACCTTACATCAAGAAGCTGCACATCCCTAAAGCTTTTTCGGACTTGAGTGTGTATGGGCTCGCTGCATAAAATCCGATGCCTCCTTTCTTCAAAAACTCCTTGCTCTCCTCTTCTGCTGTGTGTAATAAGCCCATCTTCAATATTTCATTTCCCGGCTGTTTATTTTTGGATTTCCACCTACTAAATGCGGTTCAGATCAACTGTTTTGCTGAAAGGCTCAGGGGTGGGGTGCTATTAACTCCCAACAAGAGAAGACATGAAGAAAAGCTTTATGTACTTCATTGACACCTGCACTGATGGAAATAGGTCCTGAGTTGGCATACACTCCAGCTTTATCCATTAATACATTCGTGTGCTGACATCTATTTAGGATGTTGCCATTGCTTGGTGATTGTGGGTATTAATTTCACAAATATGAGCATGCTTGAGATCTTGACATCAGTATGTTTGCATATGAACCTAGAGAGGGAAGTACAGATCTTTAGATAGTTCCATTTTAAATTATTTATTTTACTGCTTTTGTTACCATACAAGAGAATAGGTTTCAATATTGTGTATATTTATATCATTGTACATTGCTCATACTCCTCCATTCTGTTATCCTTTCTTGCTCTCTCCAGTGTGTAAGTATCCTTTCTCTGCCTAAATATAACCTAAATATAATCTAACCTAAATATAAC